AGCATTTTTTCACCATTCAGCATTATTTCCGAAAATGATTAAATTCAGGGCGATAAAAAGTTCATAAATTTCAGCTACGAGATCAATTCGCTTGTAAAGTATGCGCTTCGCTATATAAAAGAATAATTTATCATTTATAGAAAAATGTTCCATGATGGCGAGTTACCTCGCAAGCAGAATGTAGAAACTAGAAATTCTTTTTCATGCTTTACTCATCCAAATCATCTTTAGAAATTAATTTTCAAAACTTGACATCATTTGTTCTCTTCTTTTCAATTATAATGCAAAATTACGCGTGACAAAATTGTTAATTCTGGAATAGCTGCTTCTGGATTACTATGAATTTTACAAAAGTTGTGCAGATATACCAGAACTTATCGGAAATATTACGTAAGATAAAAGCTTTAAAAAAGGTGAAATAATTAATAAAAAACGCCACTGACTAGAAAAAAAAGAAATGAAGAATAAGTATGATAAAATTAGCATGTTTGTATCATGTTTTATTGTTCGCGATCGGTATCATCGACACAGAGGCGAGTTAAAATCGTTCATCTGATATCTTCTTTATCTATTTCTCTCTCTTCTCAATTTGTAATAATTATTCGCATAATTTTTAAATTAAATCTCAAAAATTGATCTAACAGCTAAAACAATAATTATCCGGTTTATTTAAATGTCAATTGCATAATCTATATTACTTGCAACAAATACTGTACAAAAAAGAAGATGCAATTTGCATTAAAAACGCGCGAAATCGATCTTACTACTATTGATAAGTAGCTAGTGGAAGCTACCTCCGTTCGAGGACGGTTTCTGGCTAGCGGATGCGGCGATGCGGCTGTTGTTTGTCGCCAGTATCACGTCCAGGACCAATTTTCGCTGGTGGTATTCGATAGTACTAGCATTCTCGCCGGCTTGTATCGAATATCCGGCACAGCAGGAACACGTCACGCTGCTGCTTCTTGTCACTTGCACTACAGTTTGTACTTTTGCCGATAGATCGTTCGACCGCCTGCTCGATGGCGTGCTTGTACTTTCTAATTGGACACACCGTTGGGCACAATCTTGCTTACGATGCTCCGCGTCGGAGAGAATTGGACCCCCAGAGAATGATAGAAGGGCGGGATGCACGCACCGACAACGGAATTCTGCATCGAACTATTGTGAATGACAGTCTTGCTCCTCGACAATGATAACGAATTCAGCGTTTACGTACTGACGTTATGCATATTGTTATGCATTGTGTTCTTGACATTTTGCGAGTTGGGCGAGCCCAACGGCATGGAGGCGGTTGTCGTTTTTCGCCTGGCGTTCGACGAAGTACTCGAGGAACTATCATTGCCGAAGTTGAGCTTAACACCACTCGTTATACCGGCAGCTTTGGACCCATCATGTACCAATTGTGTATGTGCACTCGTAGCCTTCCAATGCTCCACTTGAGCTTCGTGTGATTTTTGCAGCACTTTACGTACGTCTCCATCTTCACCGCCCTCCTTCATAATTTCTTGCAACTTCTGTATAGTCTGATATAATATCACCGGACTGATCAGCCCAAAATCAAACAGACTGCACATATGCAATACGAAGTTGCGATAGAGGTTCTTCATGAGCAACTCCTTCCCCTTATTCTCTAAGAACATTTGGCAAGCTAGTGGTATCTGGCAGTCTCCCACATATCCATGCTTCATTACATGCAGGTTCCACATCTTCATTAACTCTTTCTCGCCCTCGTTCACATCCGTAAAGTCATCGATCATCATCATTGTCTTTGTTTGCAGCCACTTAGGATCATTCTCACCCTCGGAATCGATATCCATCTCTTTGGGATATATAGGCAGGCAGGTCACAGTATGATGATACAGTCTAAAGGAAACATATCCAGTTTATAATATCCAGTAAAAGATTATTTATACCAACTGTGACAATATTGTGACTGCTCATGATGCTTACCTATTGTGGCCGGTGATATAAGGTCTTTGACTTTCAAACTCATTTTCGTCAAGTTCCAGAAACTCGGACAGACTTGGTTTCGTTCTCTTCGGACGGCACACCAGGATATTCGTCACGCTCGTACGTCTGGTTGGTCCTGTCCTTGAAAAAGGTATACTAGACGGTTGTGAAATTAATTCATGAGGACTACCTGCATACGAACCATCATAGCATTCGTTTATTGCTACATCAATTCGGGCACCTTGTGGAATTGGCTGGAAGAGAAAACATTTACACTCAATTACTGGCACAGCATGGAGGAGTCTCTTTATTTTAATCGACCAAATCAATTGCTTGTTTCTCTCCAAACACATGGTTACCATATACATTAGTGACACCAATGGAAAGTTATTGTAGCTGCAAAATCCTTCAGGAATATTAATATTATTTATATATATATATATCCATTAGATTTCCTTTAAAAAACATAAAATCTAAATATATATAGATACATAAAAATTGTGTGGATTGCTTAAAAGTTGCAACTCTATATTGTTTAAGAAGTATCTATAAATATTTATTAAAATATTTGATAAAGCATTAAAAATGATAATTTCCTGGAAATATCCGAAAATATATGTATTTTCCATTGATGCCGACATACCTCCTCCTTACTTCAAAAGTGACACAATTAAAAAAATATAATTTTCAAATTATTATCGTGAATGAGTTAATATTGTTTATCAAAAGTAAACTAATTTAACATAAAAAAAATTATCAAAATTGTCGCAATTAAAAAATTATAAAACAAAAATTATAAAAATGACATCTGATTATGTTAAAAATATACTTTTTTTTTACTGCGCGCGATATTATTATTATTTGATTAATCAATTATTTTCTACCGAAAAATAGTTTCTCTCCATTTTTGAAAATTTAGTCTTTTAAGAATTACTCTTGAAATAAAAGAGTGTAAAAGAAATAAACTGTGCGTAAATGTATAAATTATACTACATATAAATACTGTAAAAATGCGTATTTACCACGTATGTGAATGTGAATCGTGAATGACACAATTTCAAGTGCTTTAGAAGCGAGTACAATTTGCCGCAATCCAACGAGCACCAGGGGCAGTGTAGGTCTTCGCAGGCCTCCGTTTGCTGTCGGCTGTTATTGTTGTACAAAAATTGATAGACTATCTGCTGAGTTCCGTTAGCATTAGTGTCCACCTTCTCGTTGGAGATGCTCATTCTCGACGAGGGCGTTAGCGGACTAGGCGTTGGCAGTGTCGCGTTATTATTATTATTATTATTATTTGTGCTATTGTTATTGTGATTTATGGAAGAGGAACGTTCAAAACCAGCTGAAAAGATAACATTAAACATTTAAAGCAACGTTTTTGTGTGATTCAGTGCATATATTGCAGTAGTTTCGTTCGTAAAATAATTATAGAGAACTGACCGTTGGCCGACCGATTCTCTTTATTGTCACCGCTCGGTATTTGAGGTATCGGCATCGGTCTATCCACCAGACCGTTGCTCGGTTCCGTCGTCCAACTGAGCCGAAACTTTAACGTCGGTCCTTGCCTAAACATGTCGAACGGTTCGCAGTCTTTGATGTCGACCACAGTTTCCCAAGAGCTGTGTTTCTTGGGACTGGACCTAACATTGGTCTGTACTTCCTGCAAACCTAACTCATACTCGCCGTCCGTCAACAGGCATCGATTGTGCTTATCGTACACGGTAAGCTCCGAACCATATTGTTTCACTTCTTCGCCATTGACCTTTATCATACCCGTTGACGATTTACGACGCTTTTGAGCTGGTTCTGCAAGACACGGCTTGTAATATTCTGCGAGTTAATTGCGCTGACTCTCACCCTTACCTTCTAAATCACAGTTAGTTATAAGGCAGCCATTGTTAGACATGCAGTAAACCCTGAGCAAAAGCATATAAGTCTTTGCTATGTGACCATTATTTAAGCAGAAAGATTCATTGGGTATGGAAATTGTGGATGCCTTCGGTGGAGGTTGACTCTCAGAAGGATTGATTGGGACCTCGCTTGTACCGACTGAAACCTAAACAAATGCCATATCTTAATCGAGAGCCGATATAACAGAAAAACTAACTAGATCAGTATTTTGAACTGATAAATTTTAAATCTGATAGATACCAAACTTACTTGCATGACAGGTGAGCTAACATCTTTTCTTTTCTTGTGACAAATTTTCAACAACAATGTTTCCACTTTGACAGGATCCTGCGATATTTCAGCTACAAACATCACAATCTTAAATCAGAGCTTTTCAGATACATACAAGAAAAATAGGTTGTATAATCGAGACTTACCTTTTTTGTCATAAAATCCTAAAAACGTAAGAGTCATGTATCCGCGAACACCGAGATTCTGTTCATGCTTCTTTTTCGCTATTAATTTATCCAGAATCGTATCGACTTTAAATCCTCGTCGTGACTTGTGACTTCTGGACATACGTTGCCGCATATACGTTAAGTTTCGATATAGAAATATTGGCTAAAAAGAAATGTTAAATTTTAATGTACATCTATTGCCCAAGAAAAATTGATAGTTTATGCTCCTTAAATAATTTAAATTTTTATAATATAACTTAAATTTAAATTTTATACCTACCATGCTACACAAATTTTATATACAGAAATTTTGAAAAGCGTATAAAGGTATAAATTACGATTGAGGCAATATAATCAACTCAAAGAAACATTTATTAACTTACCTTTATGAAATGCTTCATATTGTTACGGTTATTTACATTCGCATATATCGTTATGTTTTTTTAGAAACTTTTGATACACCATATTTATAAAATTATACACATGTATAACAAAAAAACGGACAAAATATAATTAACGCTTTGAGGGCAACGCAAATTAAAATTATAAACAAACTGAAGATGAAAAGAAAATATTATTTACTCACTGAAATTTGATTTCTTGTGCGGAGGAACCGGTAAATCTGTGTTGGTTCTGAAAAAATGAAATATAAAAGTTATATATTGTAAAGTTAAATTAAATAAGATGTTAAATCAATATTAATTAACCAATAAGTTAAAATAAATTATATAATATGTAAAGTATGTAATCCAGTACGTAAATTTATTTATTATTATGATAGAAAATATTGTATAAATAAATAATTTTTCCTCTTTGTAATTTTTCTTCAATAAATTTTTTTACACTAATGTGCACTATTTTTATACATGTTTAAAAATAGCTTCCGTAATATAAACGAGTTAAATATGTTATTTACAATTAACTTTTTAAATTTATTATACGTTGGATTTTGATAAAACATTAAAGTAACTCAAATAAGAAATAAAAAGGAAACATGTTATATAATTAACAACTATGATTAAAATATAAATCATAAAAAATAATTAAAATTATACAATAATTTACTCATATCGAAATAATTTCTTATCTATTTTCTTATCTATTTTCTTAATTTTACAAAAATTAATCTTGCTATGTAACTTAATAGTTTTACATTTGCTTTTATTAGAAATGAAATCTTATTCATGACCATATGTGTTAATACGGAATGGACTCCCTAGATGGCCTAAAAAGCGAATCGCTTTCTCACGTTTAAAATACATCTCGTAGGATTTAAAAGCAGTTCTGACCAGGGCAGAAAACGATCCTTCAATCAGGTATCAAAATGGGATATGATGAATGGGTTTACTCAAATTTGTTTGAGACGCCTGCACCCTATTTGTTGTTACGACGAAAGCAGGTAAAACCTCTCTGATCCCATTTTTTTTTCATTTTCATAAAGTTAACAATTCCGAATTCAGAAATTTTCTCACGTTGCTCATAAAAACAAGAAACATTTAGCCATACGCATTTTATTTAGAAAAAAAGGGCTTCGCGAAATTGTGTTTCTCTTGTGATTGAGCTCAGTCGTGCCGATTTTGGGTTCTTCAAATTGGATACTCAGATTCACATGGAAGAGAAATATTTTTTGTATTAATTCCTTAAATTCTCGAGAAGGTTATTTACTAGTTCAACTAAATCAATTAAATCATAAACATGTATAACAAAAAAAACGGACAAAATATAATTAACGCTTTGAGGGCAACGTAAATTATCGTGACTTTCCTAAACAATTGGAAATTCGGAAAAAAAATTAAAAAGAAAAAAAATTACAATAAGATATTTAATTCGTGTCAAGCAGCCTGAATTAGTCTGATTCTCCGTAAATCGCTATATCGCGTAATAAAAAGAGTAGTCATCATTTTCTTTTCTTCGCGTACATTTTCCGCGGGCATTTAACGTTACATCCAAGGATGTTCTCCTTCGAAATACTTCGGAGGAGGGAATCGCGACGTCGGGAATCGCTCGATCTGTTTCGCAATAGCCAAGCTCGGGCACAGATGACAGGTGTCCGCGCGTTTTGGAAACAGTGGAGGGCGCGGAAACGGAGAGAGTGAACCGACGCTCGCCACGGTGCGGCGGGCGCTCCAGTTGACTCGCGGTGGATAGGGTTAGGTCCGGTCGCGACAGCGGCGACGACGACAGCGGCAACGAGATAACGGTGGCGGAGGGGAAGGAGGGCGTCGCGCGCCCTCCGCGGCAGGGGTCGTCCGAGGAGGTATCGGTGTGGGGGTGACCGGCAAAAGAAGTCGGAGACCTTTTATCGCGACGGAGCGACGCACGCCACCGATAGGCGGCAAAGAGGTAAGGGGCCCACACGGGGCGAAAGACCGCGATATGTGTGTGTTTTTTTTTTTCGCTTACTTTCGAAGGCCTGCAGAAAGAGCTCGTGATCAGCCTGGATCTGGTCCATACGAGGTCCCTTCTGCCCATCGAGATCCTTTTCCCGCTTCTTCGGCGGCATTTTCGCGCGGTCCTCCGTGCACGACAAGCTTCCCCCCGCGGTAACTCCAACTTCTCTCTCGTGGTCGCGCGAAAGTTGCGACGCGACAACGACAACACCCGCCCCGCGCGAAAACTGCGGCGCTCCGGCGGCCTCCACGGCGACTGATGCGTCCTCTCGCGGCGCGCCATGTATCTCATCAACGCATCATCGTGAACAATCGTGAAGTTGGTGGCGTTGAGATGGACTATTGCACGATACTCAAGAAAACTCGTACAACTTTGTGACCTGGCGGAATCGTGAATTATGTCGACGACAACGCATTGTTTTTTTTCTCTTTTGTTCTTACATTTGAGCCTAAGGATATACAACTTGTATATCCACACAACTTGTATAGCTGCATAAATGTATGCATAAAGAAAATTATCCAATCGCATTTCTCATATAAAAACGCACGTAAAATGTGATTGGATAATTCTTTATGCATATGTTATGTGGCAAGTTATGTGAATATACTCTAAAGCGGGGAGCACAAACTCTTGCATAATGTATGACACATGAAGCATAAGAAATTAAACCAATCAAAGTTCTTCGTTTCCTTTCTTTCCGTGAAATAAAGAACTCATTAGTTTTTGATAGATTGGAATCGTTTATTCTTTATTCCTAATTCCTTCTATTATGCTCAGGATAATGCGTATTCATAGTCAGACCTTGTATTTAAGATTCTTCTTTATTTTTAGATGCTTAGCAGCCAATGAAATAATTCATAGAGTATCTAAAGATAAATTTAAGGAATTTAAATATAAGATCTGAATTATGAATACGAGTATTCCTTATTTCTAATTCCTTATTCCTGCTATTGTGTATTGTGTATTGTGTATTGTGCGCAAAGATATATATAAAATATATCCACTTAACTTGTGTCCATGGTGCTAGAAATCGGTTCAAGACCTCGGTGAAGAAAGAATTGATCAATCGCAATGGTCATGTGATCAAATTGTTCAAATATGATTTGTTAATTTTTTCTCTGCCCAAGATCTCGGACGATTTCTAGTATCGTGGACACAAGACTTTAGGGTCACTTTCACTAAGCTGCGATTAACTTAACAGGTCTAGTAACTTTGCAGGATTCCAATTGAAGCTGATATCGGGGGAAAAATACGAAAAGAGAAGTTATAAACATAGATTTGTAAGGGACTCCGCACAATAAAAGGAACAAGGAATAGAGAACAGAGAATCAGAATTTCAACCTATCTGAAATCACGTATTAATACACAGTTTCTGATAGGAATTGAAATTCCCGATATTCATAAGGTATAGTCAACGCGATGCTGCAAACGGTTTGAAGTTTTTTTTTAACTGATCAATTTGTAAAATTCTTTCTTCTAATTAGTCCATCAAATGCTTCAAAACATTTGTAGTGAGATTTTGACCACAATCATAGTCGAGTTTTATTTCAAGACCATCTTAAGTAATGTTTTAAGACGCTAATGCCTTTTGATTGATTCATAATTTCTTAAGATCATACTTAAGATTTGAATATAAGGTATAGTCAACGCGATGCTGCAAACGGTTTGAAGTTTTTTTTTAACTGATCAATTTGTAAAATTCTTTCTTCTAATTAGTCCATCAAATGCTTCAAAACATTTGTAGTGAGATTTTGACCACAATCATAGTCGAGTTTTATTTCAAGACCATCTTAAGTAATGTTTTAAGACGCTAATGCCTTTTGATTGATTCATAATTTCTTAAGATCATACTTAAGATTTGAATATAAGATCTGATTATGAATATCAGCCTTATTTTCTGTTCCCTTTATTCCTTTTACTATGCGGAGCCCTTAATACTTAACTTATGTAGCAAGGTTTCTTTCTGGTAGTTGTTTATTAATAACCTATTTTTGTGTTCAATATAGTATATAAAATTACAGTTAATTATAATTAGTGAAATATGTTTAACTCTTCACAGTTCACATTTTTTTTCCGTTAAATTAATTGAATTTTGATGAAAGTAGCTCTTAGCGATGCATGTGTGCAATCGGAGCTTTCCTCTATAATTCCCGTTACTATTTATTGCACCATGTGCATTAAAATATATATATGAGAGAAGCGATATCGCGATTTCTAATTGGTGATATTCCTATCTAATTAAAGCAGCCATATTGTGTCCGCAGTGAAGAGCTATCATACGTTTCCTTTTTCAGCTGTAGAAACATATGATAGCTATAGTCTACATTACGTATACTATAATATTTCTTTTCAAGAGTTCAGTTCATATTTCTTTCTCTTCTTTCCTCTTGGAGACTTATTACGATTTTTGAACGAGAAAATTATGAAAATGATCGAATTTACTAAAATATTTATAATTTCATTAGTTAACATCTAGTGAGTTTGCTCATTTTTGTAATTTTCACTTCGTCTAAAGAAGGTGCTTTCCATTTGATGACACAAGTCGACACAAACGTTTTATCTTTATTGACATTCAGAGAATGACAAAGATAGAACGACACTTGTGTTGACGTGTGTCATTAAATGGAAAGCACCCAGAATCATAATAAGCTCACTGGAGAGAAAAGAAAATGAACTGATGCAAAAGTTCAGCCAAAAAAAACAGGCTTTAGAACTCTAGTGTGCACCAGTTCAGATAGTGCAGGAATAAAGAACAAACTTAATGCTGTCAGTCTTTTCTTTTATGCAGAATCAAGCCAAAATCAGCCAGATCAGCCAAGATGTCCACGTTCGTGATAATCGCGTAAAATAGAGAGGACTCTTTCGTTTGATTTTCGAGAGGACAAAATTGTACGATTATATATTTCGGACCGGTACGAATCGTACAGCAAACGAAAGTTCTTTGAATCTTGGAAAGTGATCGCAAACGTGTGTTGTGAGTCAGAATGACTGAGGAAGCGCAACAATCCGAGAGTACTGCACAGAACGACAGCTGTTCCGTGCAGAACGACACGCAGACCAATTCGTCGGATGTTGGAAAAGCTAAAGATAACAAAAAAGAAAAATGTCGTCCCATAACGAAGGTTTGTCTGAATCAATATAACAAATAAAAACTTTTTTACTCCACAACAGACAATCTTTTATTGGTTTCTCCAATAGATATTTTGAAACAACAGTCGAAACATGACAGGTTATGCTAAATAATAACAAGGGAATAGAACCGGCTGGATTTTATTGATTTAAATGAAATCTTGCGGATATGTAGAGAGTATTTTAGATTTAAGCAAAAATTACTGTATATGTACTTAATAAGCATTTTTCAAGATCTAGGTTTTTAAGATTTTCATAAGCTAATTCTTTAATTAACGCATGTATCCATGAATGTTGGCAAAAGAAAGAGGAAGAGGAGACAGGAGGCACTTCTACCATTCCTAAATTTTAGCAAGTATAAACAAATTACGAAAATCATTTTTACAATGAAACATTAATCTTATTGTTCTATTCAACATTATTTATAAAAATTTTGCTAAAGATTCTGAAGATCTTTGAAGACTGGCTAATATAAGTATTTTAATAAATTTTGTGTGAAAATATAAATTTTTGTTTGCTCTGACTGAAATCCTGGATACATCCATGCCAGTCTTTAAAGATTTTCAACAAAATTTTTATAAATAATGTTGAATATGTGTAGAACAATAAATTTAATATTTCATTGTAAAAATGATTTTTATAATAATTTGTTTCTACTTGCTAAAATTTAGGAAGGGTACACCTTAAGTTGCCACTTCTCAGTTTTGGTTGAAAACTCCAGTTTTTTTTTTAACAAAAAACAATTAGTTGGAATTTTCTAATTTTAAAAAACATGTATTATATTGTTATTATATATAATAATTATGTGTCATATTGTTGATTGAGATTAGGTGGTGATCAGAAGACTGCCTCCATCAATGACTCAGGATCAATTCTTAGAGCAAGTCTCTCCACTGCCGATACATGATTATTTGTACTTTGTGAAGGCAGACATGTCCCTTGGCCAGTTCTCATTTTCTCGTGCTTATATTAATTTCATGGAGCAACAAGACATCTTCATGTTTCGGGAGAAGTTTGACAACTATGTTTTCTTAGATTCTAAAGGAGTGGAATATCCTGCAGTAGTGGAATTTGCGCCTTTTCAAAGATTACCAAAGAAACGGGTGGGCAAAAAAAAGGATGTCAAATGTGGTACTATCGAAAGTGACTCATATTATATAAGCTTCTTAGAGAATTTAAAGAATCAAGAAATTGATTCGAGTGTAGCCCAATCAAAAACCGAGTATTCTTATCAACCACCAGATAGTGAGTATTTTTTGTTTTATGTATATTTCTTATTCAAGTAATGAAACGTATATACATAATATAAGATATAAATAGGCTAAACGCAAACAAATAGGGTATACATTTAAAAAATTTATTTCAACACGAACATTGAGTTGAAACGTGACGTTTTTGATTTATAACCGTTATTTCTGTATTTATATTTAATTTAAACCCTTAAATACCACTAGTACAAATACACTAGTACAAATTCGCACCAGCAAAAATTTGTTTTGATTATTTTTATGTGATTGTATTATTAAGTAAATCAAAACATTCTTGTTAATAAATGATAAAATGACTTTGTGTGTGTTAAAATAATTTATTTTTAACATGCACCCTATTCGCTCATTTTGTACTTATTTATATTTTTTATATTGTTTTGCAAATACGAGTTATTACTGCTTATCATGTAGATATATATGTATTATGTATATGCATATAAATAAGTGTTTTAAAATTATAATAATTATATTGTATAGATACAGTGAAGAAAATTACTACAACTCCATTGCTCGAGTACTTGAAACTTCGTAAGCAAGAGAAACAACGTCTTAGGGATGAGAAGCGTGAGGAGAGACGACGCAGAGATATAGAAAGACGGAGAACCAAAGATGATCCTGTTATCTCTAAGGTAGAATAATCGAATTGATACACCAAATGGCAACAAATACAGTACGGAATAATATAATAATTATTTTGCTTGTAATTAATTATCCAATTTGGTCAAGACAGTTTTATATTGCACTTTTCATTCTTTACTGTATTTGCTGATACCATACATTTTCATCTGCAGCATATATATAACGCGGAAGACGAACAATCACCCAACTCTCCCACACCTCATCGC